TCTCTCTTACCTCGCCTTAGACCCTAGACTTAGCACCTTTGAAAAAAATTGTCCCACGCAGTTTCAAATATATCGCCACCACAGGCTCCGTGTCTTGAGATAGCGCCAAAATTTCTTTCATTTTATCACCACAGTTCCTTTTTTTGAGGTCCAACTCAGAAGTTGCCTAGTTAATCGCCCGATTAAATCGATTGGTTCGGGATGCGCCACACACTTGACTTTGAGTTGAACCAGGCTGCCTCTTACTTTGTCTGTCTTCACAGAATACTCACGTTTATATAATTTTTCAACCAAGCCTTCTATCAGTCAATCGACTGTGGAAGGAATAAGCGTGGGTTTGGACACAAGGGGGAGACAAATTTCATAAGGCCTGCAGGTGGAAAACGTAGCTGGTCGCAGCGCTGCTTGTGCTCTTGTAAGGGACGGTAAAACTATGGTGGGCGGGAGAAACGATTTAGCGCGGTCCCAAACAGGGTTATCACTAGATCATAAGAGAGCGACAAGGTTTCGTATAGACTGTGCGTGCTTTCTAGTCACGTATTAATCTGCTTAGTTAGAGAGGGGTATAGCGTGGATTATGGGGTATATCTTATTGGTGAAAATAGGATGCTCAGCGGCTTCAAAATTTAGCTCACAAGCGCTTTTTCTCGTAATTTCCACCGGTCCTTCTTGGAAATTTCTCGGAAAAATGGTGATTTTATGTCACCCATAATTCATTTGCTTGGGACCCATCGTTCACGGTAAGGATGAAAAGAACAAAAAATTTCACCTCCTGCTCTCCTTCTTCTTTTTTGAGAATTCCACACCCACCTCTGCTCAATCTTTTGTAGAGTCGTCTCCTGATCCTTGGCTTTTTCAACCCTCATCGGTGGTATCGCCATAGGAGTGAAGGCCACTGGTGGAGCAGGTGGGGCACTTCGAAAAGCCAACTCCGGTTTTAACAATCGGATAACGACAACGCATGAATTACCATTATAATCGCAGGCTTGCAGTGAGTCCTGAAAATAAAAGATAGAGATACGGTAATCCATTCTGGTTGATTCCCTATTCACCTGGATAGTTTTCGCGGCCACTTGTGGATTGACAGAACTTGTAAGTATGGACGCGATCTGACCAGTACTCAAACGTTCCCAAATCGCCCAACTGGCAATAATCACATAGTCCGTATCACGGGTGATTGGTATCGATTTATTGATCGGTCTAGGAGTGATGATGGGATGAAGACTGTAGAAACCCAGCTGACGACAGTTCGGTGTGACGCCATTGATAATATTGTTCTGAAATCAGGAGAATTGTTATGCAACACGTTTAATTTTTCGAACAAAAAAATATTGTTGAAACGACTCACAAAAACTTCGAAGGATAAGGGAAGGCTTGTCATAGAACGCTAACTTCCTCCTATAATTTTTCCCGGAGTATTGAAAGAGAGAATGGCAAAATGAAATATTCTCCTACGGTATATAGGATTTTGTTGTCAGATTCTAACTATGCAAATTGCTTGGAACCATTTGGAATGGATCTTGCCACGATCCGTTCCAACTATGGAAAAAGGAGGAGTATTCTACACAGAAGAGAGAGCGCTATAATGAATGTAATGGCATAACCCTAAACGAGACCAACGAAAACCAAAATGTTTTGGTATGATTACCGGTTCGCTACATGAAGCAAAACCATTCATTAAAAATCGGCGTTCTCGAGTCCGAATCAAGGGATATTTATTGATTTTTCAGTTCTTTATATGCCTGTTTTTTATTCAGACTTTGATTAATAACCTTTATTTGCCATGTTAAAGGTTTGCGATGGAAATAATGCTCACCTCGTCAACCGTCCCACCAGCGGATCGAATTCGATCGTATTCTTCCTCGTCAAGTTCACCGGATTCCGTGAGTTTTTCCAAATGTCCACTGGACATCACTGCAGCCGTAATATTTCCCACATAGGAGAGTTTTAGATGGCTAGATCCCAGATGAACAAGCAGGCAACCGGAAATTATTAGTTCAAATCGCCTGATTTCATCGACATCGGAATTAGCAAGAATTTCTGGAAGGTTTCAGCAAGCGAAAATCGGAAGGTTTAGTGTACAAGAAGTAAACTGCAATAAAACCTGGTCCAACTAGGAACAACTGAATTCGAAGTATGGGCGACAAAATGCAAGTTTAATTTAGTTTACTCAAATTCAAAGGTGGAGTCTACGACAAAAAGGAAGCTTACTAGTAATCAAGGTAGAGGTGGTCAGTGGTGCAGAGATGAAGAAAAACATGGCGCCCCAAAACTAAAAGCCGGGGACCGCTTCTTTGCCTGATGATTGTCATCTAGGCGACTCTCGTCGACATCGGTGCTGCCCTCCAACGCTAACGCCTTCTCCGCTGAACGGCTCCAGTCGGACGGCGAGAGGGTGGGCGTGTAGCGGCGCGGAAATGGCCCTCTTAGACCGCTTGGCGCATATTCTTCCTGCGAACGCGCATCATCTCAAACCTGTGGGGAGGGGGGAGGAGAAGGGGGCTGTCTTTCGACCATAGTTAACCTTCCTCGACCTCCGACCTTACAGTGGAATCTTCCTTCAAGAGACTGAAGCATAGCCTATGATCAAGTGAGTGAATTGCTGTGACTGAGCTGAAAGTCGGCTGATTCTTCAAATCATGGAATAGGAGGCATCGTTGATGCGGAAGATTCACAAGAAACGCTTTTATGAGGCGCCGGTAGGTAGTCCGCCTCGCTGCTTGTCAGCCCCCACCGTTGCGGTATCACTCTGTCGTATCGTTCCTCGCCATGGCCTCTCGTCTCCGCCAGTCGTTCTGTCGCATAGGCACTCACTTCTTGTCTCCCTCTGGGCCCCTTGTGGTTGTTTCCGGCTTCACTACTGCGTAGAGCAGGAAGGACCGTACATCTGGTATTTCCCAAGGTTTCTTTCTTTTTTGTTCCTAACTAGCGGTCCACTAGACACCTTCAATTTCATATACGAGCGGAATTGTCATACCTATTTGATCGTGGAGGGTGCCTTTAAGTGCTGGTTCTAAACCGGAGATGGATTCATCTATAAATTTCATGATGCCTAACTTGCAGTGAAAGGTATGTTCCGCTACCACCCAGGTGCAGACTATTGCATCCAGAAATGAAAGTGGATGTGGTAGTTGATGAAATAATAATGAAAAGAAGCAAACAAAAGTGGTTATTCGCACAAGGCACGCTGTTTGCGTGGGCGGAACCTCACAGTTGTCAACCCCTCTTATCCTTATCAAAAGCCACACTGCATTTTCTTTATTGTATCAAGAAAAAGGTTTGACTGAATGATAAGGAGACACAATCGCTACCGCTCCTTTAGCTGCCCCCAATCTACTAAATCCGCCTATATTTATTTGTCCTTCCGAGCACGACTGACTACACCTGATCAGTTGTAATTTCTGTCCTTAAAGATAGGTGAAAGTGAACTACTCACTGGCTCCTAGTCGTTCTCCGGCTTCTTCCAGGGACTCGTGCGCCTTCAGAAGAATGGCTGGAAGATTGTTCTGATGCTCCTGAAATGATTCTATCTCACGTATTCACCGATTAGAGTTTTTACTGAATGAAGGACAATGTAAACGATTGTATGGCAGTGGGTCTATAAATGCAATGCCGTCCTTGAGCGACTAACAGATCGGTTGTCATACTGCTCTTCCTTCACTTATTTGATTGATATAACTGTTTTAGGGTGGATAGAAAACAGTAGGCGAAGAACAGCGGTTGCAGCCATTGCATGAAAGTTTCAAATCTTCCATACCATTTCAGATGAAAGCCGAATGCTTGGCGCATACCTAGTCGTACTAGTACAACCTTCAATAAGGTCCGGTGTTGTGCGATAGCGAGATAGGGCGATCAAAGGAGACAAAATACGCGAGAGTGCACGCTGATCTCACCATCTCTCGCAGGTGGGTGGGAAGCGTTGGAACTCGGGGTCGATGGTTGCAGCCCGTAAGAATTAGCGCCCTAACCGCGCAATTTTAGCGACGAAGATGGAGTGATCTAGGTAGGTACAGACCTTACAATTTACCGCGTGGTATTTTTCTAGTCGGGCTAATCCGGGTTTGCCTTTGAGCATGTTGTAGTAGGGCGTCATTTGCCCTATAATGCTCCTCCGCTTAAAGCGGTACAGGGATATTTTGAGAACCGAGAAATGCCGGAATGCGATACGCACTATCCCAGTCCGCCCGGAAAACGGAAGGAAACCTCTGTGTGATTTCGATTGCTGTTCGGTGTCGAATTCGTCAAAGAGGCATACCGTATTGACAAGAATTCGTTTTATGATGTTTTGAATAGTCTTCGGGAGCTCATAGTTGGATGAACCATCCACCATGCCAAAAATGTCACCGTACTGAATTCGACGAATGCATAATCTGAAAATGGGATTTATTATTGAACCATAAAAGCTGAACTACTACTAATCTATTTGTACTATAAATTCAGCGGTATGATTATAGAGTAGGCCATTATTCCACAGCTGACACGTTGGATTATAGTACAAAATCCCCTGCTTTTCACAGGGCTTGGATACGCTTTCGCACACCAGAATTCTTGATCAATGTATTTTATTAAGTCCTGTGAGCGGAGAGGAGACGGGGAATAAGCTTTAAACTGCTTAACAGCAGCTTGAGATAATCCCCCAAAGTGCGCCAGTCAAAGCAGGTTGCCACTTCTCAACTGCTCGGACACCAACTTAGCCTAGGAGGTGGTAATATCACGAAAAACCGAACATCTGGTTCCTTGTGTCGCAAAATTATTTCCAATGCGATCCCCAACGGGAAAACCACAGTAACCTCGCACTGATCGTATTTCCTACTATATTTTTACATCTGTTTTCTCCCTTCTCCTACTCGACGACCGCTTTGCTTTGCTTTTTTGTCCGTTTCCATCCCCTCAGTTCTTCAATGCTTACTCACTTGTTGCGATTTCCGGACGTCTCCGAAAATCCCACTTGTACCCGATCTTGTGGTTGAGCGCCGATATCGAACAATGCCACCGGTTTCTTGTGAGATCGTCTGAAATATTCGGATTACTGACGCTAATGTCCTTGGAGGGTAGGGGGGGGACATTCACAACAGGGCCGATGGTAGGTGATGACACCAGGACTAAGCCCAGGAGAGGGAGAAACGCCAGGGAGCACACATATTGCTTGCATCTTCCCACAGAATCCCTTCCCCTTCCTAAGTTTGGTCCCAAGCACAGTAATCCCCCCAAGGACATGAGCGCCTAAATCATTATTAGTAAATGACTTTCTGGGAAAATAAGATTGTGTAGTGAAGCAGGCGCCGATAGTATTTGAGCAGAATTGTAGTCGAAGTATGGGTTGACCCTGTTAGAAATCGTAGAAGCAATTAATCTCGTCTTTTACCCACACAGTGAAGTGGGGCACCATTCGATGTAGGGATCGGTGTTTTCACCTCCTCGAATACATCTTGTACCAATAACCAACCCAATCTGAGAGGAAGGGCGGAAGTGGTGTAGTGGCAAGTGGCACGCTTACCACGCGAGCGGTCCGGGGATCAAATCCTGGGTCGTGAGTCGCCCGGGCCAACCAAGCCTTCCATCCCTCCGGGGTCGGTTAATTGGTACCAGACTTGTCTGGGAGGATAAAAACACTGACTTGTACATCGGCTGGCCCCCGCAAGTCATTGTATAGGCCACATCGCATTCAAACGCCACTACGAATGTACAAATGGAAGTAGAATGCGTGCCGCATCCCAAAAAGGGATTGATCAACGGCAAATGCTTTATCCTTTCTTTAAAGAGGGTTTGGTTTTCGTGAGCAATGAGACAGGTCGATCTTTGGACCAGGTGTGCGGCGCCGCTTCATGTCATGAGATCACCTCCACTCCAAGCTTTTATGTGTCGTTATGCTGGTAACTGGATCATGTGTTCCATTGTCATTTGGATAAAAGTAGCGATACGTGTTTTCTGAATTTTCAAAAGTGACCTACCTCAACGTTCCGGTCGTCAGATTGAGCGCTGAATTACAAGTGAGATCTAGCTGATTTAGTGCTGGTCCGGTAGCAATAGTGGTGGTCTGAGCTCCAAGAGCATTGTTCGACATGTCGATCATCTGCAAAACCCAATATCTATTTATTATAGAAGACTTCGTTTTATATTGATGAGACCCCTTCCTTGCCCGTTGATTTCGCAATGATGCAGACTCTCATTGTGCTACCCTCTTTCAAAGCCTTAAACGCTCTCTCTCTCTAGACGAGCATCCTGCGCTAGTGGTTAGCTTAGTCGCGTGGATTACCGCGCCATAGCGCCTCGACCGGACCGGCCTCGGGGCGACGAGCAGCTCCGCACTCTAAGGGCCCCATAATCTCCTCGCTGGACAAATTTTTCCGTTTTCGACCTTCTTATCGGGAACGGATTATTACTGGGTGTAAAAAGTGAATAAATAGAAGCTATGAAAATCTCTGATTGAAGCATAGCTTCTTACCTGAAGCGTTGGTGAGACAGAAAGATCAGGAATGGTCCTGATACGGTTGGAGTGAGCTTTGAGAACCTGCAGGCAGGCAGATCGAAGATCGAAGACGGGAGAGCGGATAGTTTATTTGAACTCTCAGATTCAGCTCTTCCAGCAGTGTAAGTGAGCCAAGAGCGCTGAAACCGAAGCATTTTAGCCATGAAAAATTGATGTGGCCGATTAGGAATTCTGTTTTCTAGAAATCATCGACTCACTGACCAACCTGTCATCGAAGTATCTCAATTTGTTGTGCGAAAGATCGAGTATTTTCAGCCTTTTCATCTTCATCAGTATCGGCACGATTGATTCATCCAATCGATTGTTACTGAGACGTAGAGTATTTATCCGATTACGATCGTTGTGGCCATTCACGGCTGGTAGACCGGTCAGCCAATTGAATGAGACGTTCAGATGACGAAGTCTGTAATTGAATAGCCCAGCTAAAGGCTAATTTTTAATTCTGGCCAACTTGCTTTACAAATTTTTGGGTGAACTTTTTTTGTCGAATAAACTTACCAAGAGGAGCAGGACGCTCAGATGTTTTGGTACACTGAAGTCACCTTACACCTCACATGGTAAGAACGGGCGACTAGTTGATTCTACGTACATCTTTCGATTGCAAAGCGTGATCATTTCTTTTCGAAAGGAAGATAGAGGTTCGAATTGGATGGCCACTCAGAAAAAGAAGATACTGGAATTGAAAGGTTTCCTTTTTCTTGTGAAGGGGACAGTGCGGGAATGCTTAGTCGAGACACTGGAAGCACAAGGGAGAGAACAAACGAGAGAGCATTGCGGACGAGCTAGACGCAGACACAACGCCAAGTGGATCGTTGCGTCGTGAATATCAGTCTCAACACGCTGCATCGCAATTCACAAGGCTCGACGCTTTTTGCGCACATTCAAGCTATAAGAGCGGTACATGTGAGCTCCATCCTTCCCACAAAACGGATTGATCCATCCGGCTTTATGAAGAAATCTTCATCCAAGGGTGAAGTCGCGTAAAGGATATGGCGAACGGCTAAAATTCGCAAAGATAGGCAGCGGAGGTAAGATAAAGCCGAGAGAAAGCCAACGAACGTCGTACATAGTTGCTCAACACAGGACGTCACGCGACCGCGCGCGTCTGTGGGGCGCCGCACCCGCCCATTTGTTTCATGAGGTGTTCAGAATGAAACTACTTAGCAGAATACCTGTTGCATTTTCGCAGAAACTGCGCTGGAAGTTCCTCGAGCAGGTTATTATAGAGGACACAAGATATAAGATTGGAATTGTCGACCAACCGGTGGTAGGGTACTGATTCGATTGTTCTTGCAGAATAAGTACCGCAACGCAATGACTGAACGCTGAATAACCTGGAAAAAGCAGTTTTCAGAGGGACTTTTGAAAAAACTCGAGCTTACAAGGAAGGTCTTTCAGGGTGTGCCAAGCTTTTTCAAAACGGTCTTTTGCATGATATAGGGGCACATGCGGGAACCACAGAACCATGGTTAATTTTTCCTGAACGGCCCTCTGAATACCAGAAAAGGGGGTCCCTAGTCACACCTTTTTCACCAGTTTT